CACGCTACTCCTGATCAGCATGTCAACTAAGTATTAGCGGAAACTTTATAACCTGTCTTTGTTTCCTCATATGTTCCAACATAGGTCCCATGAATCTCTTCTTCTATATGCCCCATGTCATTAATGCTCAAAAACAAGTGCACATTCGCATACGAGTGCATTTTTTGCTGTATTGACCATTCAAGTGGCCACCCAAATGACCATGCGCGAACACATCAGAGATAACGTATGATAATTACTGGAAAGTTGAAAAGAGGATAAAATTTTTCTATGATATTTCAGGTCAGCTCGGATTTTCTGGGAGTAACAAGCGGATAACCTCGATGACCAATGCAAGTTGACTGCTGGCCGGTGTTGCCTTGGTTTTCATTTCCGATCCCGCACTTGATTAGTTTCTGTATCATTCTTGCACTGATATTCATGCTTCTGCTCCTGTGCTATATTCTCGATTGCATTGAAGCTGAGAAGATTCGAAACAGACAGCTGAATCGTCCGGCTTCTAAGTGTTAGTATTCGGCACTTTTTGCGATTTCCTATCCAGCACTGATCTTCCAGTTGACTACAGAAGCAGCTGTATTCGAATGCAGTAGAGATAACGTATGTTAATTGAAGATTTCTAGTTTAGCACAAGAAATAGTGGCACAACGACGCGGGAGGATCAAGTTCTTCATTTTTACTATCTCCGTATCCTTCGAATCGTGATGTGCTTTAGCTAATTACCGACCCTTATACTTAGTCCAAATATCTGACCAGTTAAGCCTTTATGCACTGCGACCACGCATGCCTACTCGACCCTGTTTAGCTGTGCTGAAAGCAACGTTCCTTTTTTCCAATTGCCGATTTTGCGTAGAATTCGCTGCAGTGCTTTGGATGCTTTATTCCTTATACATGACTCTTCCAAAACGAAGAAGCGGTATTAGCATGAATATTGTTAGTGCTTCTGTGTTTCATATTATGAAATTCTTAGCTGATAATAATAATAATTATAATAACAGTAGTAATAATAAAAACAATAATAACAATAGTAACAATGACAGTAACAATAAATAACAGTAACGACAGTAATATTAATGATAATGATAATAATGAAAATAATAACAGACTGCATAGTAAAATTACATAAATAGGTATGAATTCTTACTGTCAGTAATTCCACTGTATGCGACTTTTCTTTCATTTATTTTTATTCGCTTATACACTTAACATTCACCTATTCCGTCCTTCTTCCAGCCACATTCTTCTTTGCACCTCCTTACTTCTTCCTCAGTCAGTTCTCACTATTGCAAATAATCCAGGAAAATCGCGACCATCCGATATCCTGACTAGTGACACTGTGAGACAAGCGGAACGGATAAGTAGGGCTACTGGTGAATTTTTCATCAAAAACTATCTGACATGCACGAAGAGAACCTCCTGGTTCAGCTTTCCTGGATACATCCATGGCTATTTACACAGATTCAACGACCGGTCGGTCACTCATTCTTCTGAAACAGATATAAACCGATAGATCTGCGAAACACGGATAGTGGGAACATTCCCGCTAAGCGTGAGCAGTCGGATCCTGTCTACTTCGATGAAAGCGATCGCTTCTCCCGCAGCAAAAGCCAATGTCAGTCGAACTCAAGGTATAGCATCATCCGATTTTTGGAGCAAGCTTTCGGTTTGTCTGCGTTTTCTGGAAAATGCATGCGCCAAATTCGTGCAGCTACCGGATGGGGAGCGACCACTCGGACAACCTCAAATAGGTGATAGATACATATCGAGCAGGAAGTGGGTACCAACTGGAGATTTGCCACTAAGAACTGGAAGACCTAGTACACGATGTTCTGCGTATAGGAACATCCCAGTAACATCACTAAAATGTGATTACCGCTGTGATAACCAAGAAGATGTGAAATCTTAAGCATGGCTTATAATGAAACATATCCAAACCTCTTCCCTATCCACAAAAAATATAGTGCCGTATGTTTGGTCCTGCTATTAGATTCCTAATTTTTGAACAGGATTTTGGATTTTCTGTCAAAGAATGGAAGAATCTAGAAGATCACCAGTAACATAATACAGTCCAGGATGTTCCTGCATTTTGATCAGTAATGTGCTTCGCTACTGATTCATAGCACAAGGAACACTAACATTCATAGTGTGCTTTGCCAAATATGCCGTCGACAACTTTTCGGCTTGCTTCGGTAATTGCCATTGTAACCTTGGTGGTCAGCCTACTGACGATTCCGACATTCGCTTAATCTATTTATACAAAAAACATGTGACTGAATATGGAACGTCAAAACAAATGTGAGGTACAAAGCGAGAAAAGAAGGCATGAAACAAATAAAAATAAGATACAGGGCACAAAATTTTTGCGGCATAATTGAGGTGCAAGGCAGAAAAATGAGGTAAAAAGCCAAAATGAAGAATTAACACTGGGTTCTTTTCGTTCTTTTCGTTTTTAACTTTTGATTTTTTCTAGCGTGTTTCTCACGAAACTATTGCTGAGGGGCTTTGCAACGGCTTAAAACGGTACTCAGATTTAACAAGTGTGGAAAAATGATGCTTTAGAGAGCAAGAAGTCATCAAAAAAATCTGAGAAAGAGGAGTTACTGAAAGTTGGCGAAATGCTGCGCGGAAGATATACAGTTGAAAGCAAACTGGGACGTGGAGCTTTTGGCCACATTTACCGGTATGCTTGGGTATTGCTCCGTTGAATTTTTTGTTCGGCAAATAAGAAGTTAACTTGCCGAGCAAATTTTTCCTGCTGCAATAAGACACACGGTTATGTACCCATCCAATTAAACTTTCCGTGGTCAAACAATATTAGCTGTACAAATAATAAGAAAAGAATGCGCCAAAAAATCATTTTTTTAGTGCCTACGATAGGCTGAAACTGCAATCAGTAGCGGTGAAAGTTGGAACGCCTCGAATGGATCCAAGACGTATGAAAATTGAACAAATTGTACTCACACTACTGCGTGGAAAGGTACCATTTCTTCAAATCCCTCATTAAATTTTTTGAAAAAAAAAACAAATCACATACGCTTTTTAAGTTTTAAAGACATAAGGGAATACATACGTTATTTCCTGCCCTCCTTGAAAATTCCAAAAAATTTCTGCATTTTGCGCAGATACATTCAGGCAATCTATTGATTCTTACCTAATCAATCAGATGTTCATGCCCGGAATCATGGAATCTTATAATCCATAGCGTAGCTTTCATTTAAATTTAGGCTATTTTAAAGACAATTTAGAGTCATTTCCCGATACTGATTGGTACCGGAAAAATACGTGGTTTGCCTTATCTCGTCATGGAACTTGTTGGTCGCAATTTATCAGAGTTACGAAAAAGTCAACCTCAAAAATGCTTTCAACCTATTACTGTGTACAGAATATCAATGCAGGTAAAAATATTTTTAAATTTTTTTTAAATTCAAATCCCAGCGAGCCTGGTGCGCGTTGCTATTTATTTATTACAGGTGATGAGCGCGTTGCATGACTTACATCGCTCTGGATTTTTGCACCGTGACATCAAGCCGTCAAACTTTTGCATCGGCAGAGGTCTAAACCGACGAAAGATTTATCTTCTGGATCATGGTACTTTGGCAGCAATTCTTTTCTTTTTTTACCATGGTTGCCAAAAAAGCCTATGCTCAGGAATTATGCAGGTATGGCTCGGATGTTTATGAACATGGATGGCACTTTTCGGGCGGCACGTAATTACGCTGGTTTTCGGGGCTCGCTTCGCTATGTATCGTTGACGGTGCACGCACGACAAGAAAGTGGACCTTGCGATGACCTCATTGGATGGCTCTATTCTATGGTACTAACATTCCAATCAAAAAAAAAATCTTTTTTAATTAAAAAAAATTTCTGATAAAAATTTATTAATTTTCTTCTCTGGCTTCCAAAAATATTTTGAAACGGAAAAACTGTTTCAGACGAGTTTTTTCAGGACTAATAAAATGAATAGAAAAATTATTTTTAGAGGCGTAAAACCATCACATTTCAGCCGAATTTTTCAAACTGAGTTCTAAATCGCAATAAAATAAATGAAAATTTAAAAATTTAAAAGTTCAAGCCTGGTTTGACCCGAATTAAATTAGATTTTATCGAATTAAATCCGAATTTTTTAAAGAAATTCGCTTTTTCGTTCTTTTTGCTCTTTAAAAACTTATCTTTTTAATAAGTGTTTTTGATTCAATTGAGCTGGATAAATAAAAATTTTGGAGGTTAAAAAAATATAAATTTGATTGAAATTTTTATGTTAAAACCTAACTCCTTTCAAGTCGGCAATAACCTTAGCCATATCAGATCGAAATGATCAATGGAAAACTTCCATGGAGTAAACTAACGCGTCCTTACGATATTGAACAAGCGAAAATGAGCGAAACACCGGAAAGTCTATGCAAAGATCAGCCGAATACATCTCTTGAATTCGCTACTGTAAGGATTTTTTTCGGAAATTGTTCCGGCAATGGTGAGATTCAGTTTTGATGCCAGGATTTTTTGAGCAGGCATTTACAACATTTTTAGGAAAGAGAGTATTCGTTTCTTCGTTAAACCAGTAAGCTATTCAGCTAAAAAAGCTAAGACCCTTCAAATCCTTTACTTCCGCCCTGTGCTTGAGCCTGAGGTAGGTGTGCTAGCTCTGCAGCAATAAGGGTACTAGTGGTGATACATATATGCATTCAGAAATAATCAGCTGAAGAGGGGTGTGTTACGGCCCAATACGCCGTATACATTCTTACTCAGGACCACAACTGGGCCTCATCAGTCCGACGGTTGTGATATATTGTAAGGGTAATGCTGATATAAGCACGGATGAGAGAAGACATGTACAAGACTGTGTGCTGGAAATGTATACAATTTTGTGTTAGGTGATAACGTCTTAAGTACTGGAAGATATAGGGGACAACAAAAAAATTTATGTGATAATTGGCCAACGCACAGGCTGCCGGTGCGAAGATGCGTTTTTTGCGTAGCTCCCCGCATTTTTTATTGCTGCCGACACTGGTTTTTCCGGTAAATGCTTCTAGATAAAAAAAATTAAGGCTGGCCATCAAAACTGTCAGAAAACACCCCCTTAAAATTTCAGCTTTCTAGTTTTTCTGGTCCCCGAGTTACCAACTTACTCGAGAAGAACTTTCACAGTTCCGCACGTGGGCACCACGCATACCCGGTGTCTGGGTTTGAGCGCATTGAGAGTTGTGTAGGCAGGAAAGATCCACTTAAAATTACAGTCTTCTAACTTTTCAGTTTCCCGATTTAGTAACTTACCCGAAAAAAACTTTGGCGGGCGCGTGAGTAGGTACCACGCATAGCCAATGGCTGGTTTGAGCTCACTTAGTTTACGTGGGCGGAGAACATCTTAAAATTTCAGCTTTCTTGCTTTTCTGGTTACTGACTTAACGACTTATCTGCAAAAAACTTTCACGGGCTCCTACGGGGGTGCCACGCGGGTAAGGACGCCCATTTTGAGAATTAGGGCCCGTACGTGCATGTAGATTAAGTCCCAAAATCTCAGCCCCGTAGCTTTTGTAGGTCTTGAGGTGAAAAACCGTGACAGACACACATACAGACAACTCCTCGTCCATGTGCGCTTTCTGCATTGTATAGCTGCAAAAAACGCATAAAAAATGAAAAATGGCCAACTTCATTCATATGGCGGACTGTCTGTAATTAATACTGGAGCATTTTTCTTAGGAAGATTTTTTATTTAAATAAGTATGCGAAAAACATTTATCTCATAAGATGTGTATTCAAAAACGTAGAAAAAATATTCTTGCTGTGCTAGGATATCATTCACGTTGTGGTCTCGACTTACAGCCAGCTATTCAGGATGCAACGTGAGCAGCATTCTAGCTCTAGCGCTGAGCATTTTATAGATACCTGCAATGCAATTTCAGTACCTTGCATCGCTGAAGCGCGTGAATATGCCCGATTACGATAAAATGTATGCAATATTCAAAAAACCGGTATCACTGAGCAACAAAGAAGGAGGGCCATTCGAATGGGAAATGAATACGAGAACGTAAGAATTTACTTTCAGAATAATTCAGGACCACATGAGAATAATTCTTCCCATAGCTTCAAGCAGCGATTTCTTGTTTTGGTGCTGTCAGATCAGCGGAAACCATCGTTGATCTTGTGCTGACATTTGACAAATTTCTCCGACCCCTTAAGTTAACATTATCTTATTGTGTTAATTGGTAAGGTATTGCTGACCGGAGGGGAGAGTCTAGCTTGTGGTTGAATTTTTTCCCGAATGGAAAAAGAAGCCCGTAATCGAAGTTCTTGGGTATTCTTCGCATGAACAATAAAGCTGAGCGGTCAGCTTAGCCTTTCGCTCTTGTGAAGTAAAAAATTTTGTTGTTACTTTTTTTGTTTGAGCGTCACACCTGGTAAATCAAAAAGTCCTTCCTGTAATTTCACTGTCTATGAAAGACCAAAGCGCCCGGAAGTAGCCCAGTGAAAAAAATGGATCGTTCAAACGAGAAGAAATTTGCCCGTAAAACCTAGACTTCTTGAATATTCAGGAATTCAGGTTTTGGACTAATTCCCCTTTTCATAATTCATTTCCTTCCCTGCAAAAATGAACTTTTTGAATGAAAAAAAAAAGTTAAATCACAACGAATAACATCTCGGAAGATTTAGGATGTTACAGGCATTAAAAAAAAATGCATTATTCGTCAACCCAAGTCGATTCTTCCTCAATTAAAAAAATTGAAAAAAAATTTAAAGAAAATGCTCCTTCCGCTACAAAATCAAAAATTGGAACTCCTTCAGTAATCTACTGCCCCACGAAAGATGGAAGCACCTTGAAATATACTGGTAAAGAAAATGGATTTTTCAGATGGGATTAATTTCTGAGAAGACTCAGGGTACCACAGAAATTAAAAATACATTCATTATCCCTAAGTTCAAATATCATTTATTCCTCAGTACCTCAAGTTTTTATGCGTTTTTTGCAGCAATGCAATGCGAAAAACGCATATTGACGAGAGGTTGTCTGTGTGATTTTTATGCGTTTTTTGCAGCAATGCAATGCGAAAAACGCATATTGACGAGAGGTTGTCTGTGTGTTCGTGTGTCTGTGTGCCTGTGTGTGCGTCTGTCACGCACTTTCATCTCCGGACCTATAAAAGCTGCGATGTGTCTGTGTGTGCGCTGGGCCTCTGTATCGGTTTTTCATCTCGAGACCGGCAAAAGCTACGGAGCTGAAACTTTGGGGACTTGTGCGTGTGTGTGTGCGCTGCGCGTCTGTACCGATTTTTATGCGTTTTGTGCTGTGTAACAGCCGCGTTTTTTGCAGCTATGCAATGCAGAAAACGCATATTGACGAGAGGTTGTCTGTGTGTGTGTGTGTGCGTGCTGTATGTGTGTGTGTTTGTGTGTGTGTCTGTGTGTGCGCAGCGCGTCTGTACCGATTTTTCATCTCTGTTTGTGTGTGTGTCTGTGTGTGCGCTGCGCGTCTCTACCGATTTTTCATCTCGAGACCCACAAAAGCTACAGGGCTGTTTTGTGTGTGTGTGTCTGTGTGTGCGCTGGGGCTCTGTACCGATTTTTCATCTCGAGACCGGCAAAAGCTACGGGGCTGAAACTTTGGGGACTTAATCTGAGCACGTTCGAGCCCCCATCCCCAAAATTGGCGCCAAAACCCGCGTGGTACCCGCGTACGGGCCCCCATACGAGCCACTATCCCCAAAATGGGCGGTCTTTCCCGCGTGTTACCCCCGTAAGACCCCGCCAAAGTTTTAACGGGTAAGCTGATAACTCGCGAACCAGAAAAGCTAGAGAGCTGAAATTTTATGGGAATGT